AGTTAAATTTTTTTAACATTTTCTAATGGTGGTGTGCCTCGTGATTTTTTTCATGAAAAAAGTGTGCCTTTGCACAAAAAAGGTTGAAAAACACTGGTCTAGTCTATTCTCTAACATGCCCATATTCTACCCAGAGTTTAAGGACTTTACAAATACTAACACGACATTACTGGTGATAGCAGAGCCAAAGAATAATAACAGAATCCCTGCAACAAAGAACACATGTAACTAACTCAGATAACGTATGCACTAAAATAAATATTTTAGATTGTTATATCAAATGTCAGTTCATTGTGTACATTGAAATCAACAGTACTTATCCATATTTTTCATAGGTATTGGATGAAGCAGACAGAATGTTGGATATGGGTTTTGAGCCTCAAATAATGAAGATTTTGTTAGATGTACGTCCTGATAGACAAACAGTTATGACCAGGTACTGTAATATACTTGTTTTGATGGATATTGCCTAAATATGTGCTATGCAGAAAATGGATAATTTGTTTTATATCACATTTAAATTGGAAACAGAGAGCCTTTGTCACATCTAGAAAGAATATTTGACACCATGTGGTTGTTTCCTTACCTAGGGAATAGAATTCTTTATTGGCCAAGTTTGATCGTACACACAAGAAATTTGTCTCGGATTCATAAGGTCACAATGTACATATAAATAGCAAGCAACAGGTCATATATCATAGATTATAGTTACAGTCATTAATCATGAGATACAACAAGTGATAATCATAGATAGCAATAGGAGAAGGATAATATCAATACAGCCCTAGTACAGGGGGTAAATATCTTTAAGCCTAAGACAGTACGATGTGAATTAGGTATTCAGCAAGGTAATGGCACAATTTGTCTAATTGTTTTTGCATGCAATGCCCAATAGCAGCACACAGAGGAGAGAATTGAAAGAGTTTGTCTATGATGTGAGGGGTCTGTTGTTATTTTCTCAGCCCTCTTTCTGGTTCATGCAGTCTACAGATCCTCAATGGAAGGCAGGCTGGTTGCAATTGTTGTTTCTGCAGTTCTAACTATCCATTGAAGTCTGTTATTACAGTAATATCTATTAGATCATTTTTATTTGTTATTTTTCACATTTTTGAACCACCCATCTGCCTCAAAGAGGGGCCCTCATATCCACTATCTTCACATTAGGCGAATCAGTCAGCATATTGTCTGCATATCTGTTTTAAACACTTCTCTCTATAGTTCTTATTACTAAATTGTCAGTAGCAAGTGCTTCCTTCTAACCCCAACCCCCTCTGAAGGTATATCAGACAGGGAAAGTATGTTGCATACACTGTTGGTGAAAGGATTCCAACTTGTCAGTCTAGTTAAAAAGACCCTTCCTCTGCCGTTGCCTTTGGAATATTCTTCTCCTGGAAGTAAGACAGACAGATTTATTCTCCTGGCTTCCAAAAAGGAATTAAGACATTGATGGCTCTGTGGCCTTGTTTGGGGAGCCCAGAGAAGCATGCAGCCATGAATGAGGTTGATTAGTCCCCTGAAATCCCTCCCTTTGCCTTGCCTCTTAATTTTTTTTATTTTTTTAAAAAACGTTTATTTATGCTATTTTATATTTTAACATTTTATTATATATCATGTAAATCCCCTCTTTGAGGGAGATGGGCAATACAGAAATGTGAAAAAATAAATTGATTAATAAAATAAAGGTCTCATTTGTGCTAACATAGATTAGCTTTTGAATTATCTGAGCCCATTTGCATTTCAACTTTACAATTCAATACTGAGTGTTATGTATTTCCCAAAATTACATAGTAAACTTAATGACACAGAAATACGATACCACCATTCTCCTTCCATAGTGAAAGAGGGTCTTATTACAAAGGAAATAACATTGCTGAGGAAGTGACAAATTAACTCATCTCAGAAATGAACCATTTTAATCTCTTTGAAAGAAATATTGGAAATTAAATCAGATTTTTTTTATAAATGCAAAGAATGAATGCATGGAAGAAAACGTTTATGAGATGGAAGGATGCTAGATGCCGTGACATGGAACAAAAAAGTTAAACAAATAGCAATGAAATCCTTGTTTTTTTTTGGGGGGGGGTTAAGGCAAGTTTTAAATGCAGCTGGGTTGATAAGTTTTTTTATAGAAATAGCAAGATAATTAGAGTAGGAGAAAGAATCTTAAATTTTTAAAAAAAACATTTTATTTTAATTCCACTAGTGCTACATGGCCAGATGGTGTCCGCCGCCTTGCAAAATCGTACCTGAAAGATCCAATGATTGTATACGTTGGAACTCTAGATTTAGCGGTGAGTTGTGCTGAGCATTAATATTGTACATAGCCATAATTAATATATACCAAAATGTCTGATCTTACTATGCATATGTGAAAAATGACTGTTTGAGAAAGTGAGAATAACCCAAAATAATATACTGATATCCCACTTAAAGAAGAATACACTAAAAGGAAATTTTCAAAGTGAAAAAGTTTCAAATTAGATAACCTAAACTTTTCTTTAAGTTTCATAATTTTGTTTTTTCCCATTTTGCTGAAGTTTGACTGCATGCAATAATGTCATTTCACTTGTCAATTGCTCACAAGTTTAAGTTGTTGAGTAATTTCACTACTATGCTATCAAAATGATATATATGTAAAATAATTATTTGAAATATAGTCCTTCAGCAATGTCCTGTCATTTCTTAACAGCATGCATATTATTCAGAAGTCTTTTAAATATTCTACTTTGTTTTCACATTATCTGAGTATTTACAATTCTTACGACATAAGAAGCTTTGACCATATATGCCACAAGCCATTACTTTTCAGTCACATTTCCTTGTCACAAACTTTGTTTTACAGGCAGTCAATACCGTAGAGCAGAAGATTATTGTTATTCCAGAAGAAGAAAAAAGAGATTTCACACATAATTTCGTTGATACTATGAAGTCTGATGAGAAGGCCATCATTTTTGTGGGAAAGAAACTTACGTATGTAGAAAATCTTAACACAAATGAGCTTAAATTATAACAATCATTCTGTCTAGTCCAATATTATTTGCTCTACTTTTTACCACTTCAAACTTTTTTCACTCTTTCTCTTTACAATACTAATAATAGTAGAACTGACATTTGGGAATGAACTTTTTCTTAACAGTCAAAAACAATTACATTAGAAAAATATTGTGAAATTGTTTCCAAATATCAAAATTTAAACCATAATCTTAATTTAAAAATATTTAACAATACAATATGCTCATTAAACATTGAACATAGTGAGACATAATTAGGATATAGTTATGAGTCAGCTAGCATGCTGCAAAAAAGAAAGGTTTTTTTAATACATCATTATCTCCATTATACTGTTACTAAATAATTACTGAATTATTCAGTTAATTTAATTAGTTAATTAGCATTAAGTAAGTTACTGAATATAGCTCCAATTCTAATAAATTTGTCAATGTGGATTTTTTCTAGGTGTAGCATTTTATTCTCTGACATTTGTAGTATGAATTATATTTCAGTTCTGCCACACATCTTCTATATTTTTCAACCTCTGATTGTTTAGTGATACCACCCCCTAAAATTATCTCCAGGATATCCATCTTGTGATTTTTTTAAAAAAGGAATCGTTTGAATAAATTAATGAAAAGTAAAAATTAGTATTAGAGTATGAATATTTAGGAAACAAAATAAATCATCTGACATATATGATGTCTGATATAAGCTTGAATGTTTATTCTAACTGCTCTGTAAATGATACATTAATTGGATTAAAAACCTTTATGTATTAGCTTTGCTTTTAATTTTTTTCAAAAGGGCTGATGACATTTCAAGTGATTTTGGACTTCGGGGAATTCCTGTTCAATCTTTACATGGCAACAGAGAACAGTGTGATCGTGAACAAGCTTTGGACGATTTCAAAAAAGGTGATCATAATTAGTTAATTTAACATAATGTTATGTAATAAGCAAAATACATTAACTCAAATTCAGATCTTTATTACAGGGTTTGAACAACTAGGAAAGATTTCAACAGAATTAATAGTAAAATCCAAGTTAAAGACTATGTTAAAATTACACAAATGCTGGGATTCCATGTAATGTTAAACAACTTGTGAAATAAATTGTATACTAAGCAGGACTGATCTTTTCATATTAAATGGTGCTATTGATGGGGACAGGGCTATGCATTTTTATTTTTAGGCCAGATCTAATTTAAATATAATCAATAACATCACAGATTTGAGACACCTTTTAAGAAATAAGACACATCTCATAATAGTGGGTTTCCTTGATAGCATATATCTACAAAAAGATATTATACAAAATGTTTGCCCCATACTGGCCAAATCAGATATCAGCCCATCTGCAATGAGTGAATCTCTAGTCAAGTATTTAATTCTGATCAGCCACTGTACCTCACTCATCAATTATAAGTATAATCTTTATTGTCATTGTACTTAAATGCAACGAAATTGATTTAGTATGAATCTTTCCAATGTACAGTTATTTTAGCCATTACTAGAACCTAAATAATATTTGTAGACAAGCCCTGTTAAGGATGCAGTATGAAATCTGAAAAGCTTAGGTTTGCCTCATGGTAAGGCCAGCCCTGATAGCATGTTAGTAAGATGTGTTAATGGACTCTGTTCTCTTCACTCAAGTGAGTTTTACAAAATGTTCTTACAGCACAAATGGTTTCTCCCCTCCTCCAAAAAGTCTCTGTTTTTCATTTGTCATACTTCTTTCTGTGTCTCCCTCCCTTCCACCCCCTGCTGCTACTTCAGTGGAGCATTGTTTCCATACTATGGATATTAGACAGTCACATTCTACATTAACCAAATTGCGTCCTTTTAAATCAATTTGTACTTTTTTCATTTTGTTGGGAGAATTTCCCTGAGTTCCAAGCTGAGAAAGGAAAAGGCAATCTCCCTGGGGGAATGTAAGTTGCGAGTAGTCAAGACACATAGACTGGCCTCCCTCCCTCTCCTTCTCTTTCTCCATCCCTCTCTCCATCCCTCTTCTATCTTATTCCACCGTTACTTACTTGTAACTGGTTCTTTTAATGTTTGCAAATTCATTCAACGTGGCCATCTTGACTTTGATTATAATTTGTTTCAAATGTGATCCACTCGGGATTGACAATTGAGAGAATTGGCGAGGTCTGTCCCTCAAACTGTGTATATAAGAGGCAAATACTAAGGTCTCAAGTGGGAATAGATTTCTATAAGTACCAACTGCTGGAAAAACTACAGATAAGTAACACTTCATTCAGATGCATTGTGAAAAATTACCAGTTTTTATTTTGCTTGTTCTAGGCAAAGTTCGTGTATTGATAGCAACAGATTTGGCTTCACGTGGACTTGATGTACATGATATTACGCATGTCTTTAATTTTGATTTCCCTCGTAACATTGAAGAATATGTTCATAGAGTGGGCCGTACTGGACGAGCTGGGTAAGCCAAATTTTAAACAGTTTCCATGTTACCAAGTAGAAAATATGAGTGTTTTCTTCAGTATATTCTTGTGTCTTATATCAGATGCATTAAAGTACAGGGAAATGCAGTAGTCTCTCCCCAACAGTGGAACAGATTTCTTTTTTTCCTGTTAAAAATAATGTATTCCAAAGAGTTTCTTAAGAAAATGAGAGGAGAAAGAAAACATATTCATATGTTAGTATACTTTTATATATATTGGATATTGGACTTTCCTGCCAGTCAGGTTTGGAAGGATGTTTTTCTCAGAATTAAAGATCCTGCTGTAAGTAGAGGGGGCACAATGGCTCAGTAGTTAAAGATGCTGAACTTGTCATGTGGAAAGCTGACAGCCTGGGTTCAAGATCTGAACACTGCACAACGGGGTGAGCTCCCATTATTTGCCCCAGCTCTTGCCCACCTTTGAAAGCATGCAAATGCAAGTAAATAAATAGGTACCACTGAAGTGGAAAGGCAACTGCTGATCACATGACCATGGAAATACCTTTAGAAAATGCTGGCTCCCTTGGCTAAGGAACAGCGATGGGCACTGAACCCCAAAAGTCAGACACAACTGAATAGGGGAAACCTTTACCTTTGTAAATAAATTGGGCTATGTCAGAAAGGAACAGAAGAAGATGGATTGCTTTTCTGTAAACTCCATTTTTACCCACTCTTAACTAATTACTTGGAGCTTCAAGGCTCTAAATGGCAACCTGTTCTATAGCTGTCCCATCATTAAAGGTCTCCAAAATACCATTTACTCCAGAATGTTCATCTTCATTACCCACTCCGGCAGAGATGCCATTTTGTTTCTCCCCCACCCCCTCCCCGTATTTTGAATGTTGATAGTCCTATTTAAAAAATGGAGCTATCCATTTGATGTTTGGCAGACATGCATCCTTTTTAGCTGTAAGGCACTGTTTTTCTGTTTATGCACAGGATAAATTATAAAGATAGCATGTATATTTTCCTCCTGCCATAATCTGCTTAACTGCTACTTGAAGAGAAGTTTGATATTTACCACTGGTGCCATTTCAATCATTCAGAAAGGAGCAATCGGTTTTTATACAGAATGTGGATTTAAAAATGGAACATTTTAATAAATTATCAATATAGGTCTACAAAAGGGAGCCTCTTACAGAAATATTAAACCCCATTTTATTTGGGGGGGGGAAAGTTTGGATTGGTGTTAAGCAAAAATTTCTTTTAAAGGAAACCCAGTTATGAGCTATTTATTTATTTATTTATTTTGCTTTTACATAGACGCAAAGGAGAAGCTATAACGCTTGTCACACGGAGTGACTGGCGAATTGCATCCGACTTGATTGACATTTTAAAAAGAGGAAACCAGGTAACATAACTAAGCTTGTTGCTACTTTTTTCCTGTTGTTCCTTTTATCCTTATTTGATTAAAGTAATATAAAACATTAAATACACATTTAAATTGATTTTAAAATTTTTATTTTGACTAGTTTATATTATATACATAGCCTCTTATTGCCTGTAATTTCAAGTAACTTAAATAAAATGTCTTTGGAAGAAGCATAAATTAAAAGCTAGATGATAAAATTAATTACAACAAAATGTTTAAAATGAACATTAAAAGTCATTAAAGACAATTGAGAACAACATATATGTTACCTGCTATCTTAACTAAACAGCTACAGATATGTATGACGTGTGCCTCAAAGTGTATGGGTCCCATATAATTATCCTTGATGGTATTATACAAAAACACCCAGATAAATATTTTTTAAATATCATTTAAATATGTAGAACAGAATGAGCAACTGGTGGAGGGAAGGACAAGGACTAAGATGTGTGAGGCCATGGTATACATGGGGTGGGTGAGGTGTTGGAGGTCAGTTCCTAAAGATTTTGAATCATTTTCATTGAAAGAAGCCTATTTCAGAGTTTACACTGTAATTTCCATGTTTCTTGTTGAAAAGGTAAAAAAGAGACTGTGCATCAATTTCTGATAACCCTGAATAGATGTGGTTTGGGCAGCCACAAAAAGGGCCTATCAGATTTTATATTTGTGAATGTAGAATAAATGGTAACTTAAAATCACCTGAGATTATTAAAATCTCAAAGCGTTTCTTATCACTTAGCTGAATAAAAATCTAGTTGGATAGTTCTAAATTTGAACTAGAATAGCTTGAGGTTAAAATCTGTTGCTGCTACAAAATGTGTGTTAATTTGCTGTTTGTTTATTTAAGTGCTAGGTTATAGTTTTGAGCTTATTTTTATATTATATTGTTTAAAATTGTGATAGGCTTTTTTGCAAATTTTAATATAAAGCTTAATCACAAATCGTTACCAAATATTTTCATATTCACTACAAATTGCAGTGTTATATTATAACACTTTATACTTACAGTAACATGAATTTCCTGGTTTAAATATATTGTTTCCACAAATGGAAGATAATTTGTTCCATCAGATTTTCCTCTCCTACCCCTGTAGCCTTGAATTGTCTCCACAAAATATCACAGGAGGAAATTGTTCAAAAGTTAGAAGGAACTTAGATAATGGATTTATATTTCTGAGTTCAAAAATCTTCTGATATAGCCAATAAGTTCAGTACACTCCATGTTCTCCAGAAAGACCTCCAAAACACAAAATGCTTTTCTTAAGATACAATTTTATAAAAAGATGACTGGTATCAAACTGATTTCTGTTTTTGCAACTACTGAAGACCTCTTCTACAATGTACATGCTTAGGAGTAAATGCTAAAATCTAATATAACAATGCAAACAGGATTATTAATCTATTAGAAGATACAGTATTTATAAAAATATATTACAAAAAATGTTTTATAGAATATTTTCATGATTTTTTTATAGTTTATAGAAATTGAAAATGTAATAATAGCTAATTGTTGGTTTATCTAACTTTAATAGGTGATTCCTGAAGAACTCATTTTGATGGCTGAAAGATATAAGCAATTCCGCTTGAAAAAGGACATCGAAAATGGTTTAGGAAGGTCACGGGGGCGACCACAGAAAGGTTTCCAGGCTACCTGGAAATAGTATAGTGCCTATGGAAAATTCAGTAAAATGACTTGTGTGCTATTACAACAACAACAAAAGTATGAAGCCTGATTTTCTTCAAGAAAGGTGCTTTTTCAGTCTTTCTCAGACTCTATTTGATACCAGATTTAAAACAATTTAATGTCCTCTGTTCTGCTTTGAATTCTGTGATACTATGATGACTATTTTGGAAAAAAATTTGAGAATAAAAATCCTTTGTAGCATACTCTGGAATTTATTTGATCACATCGTCTCCCTTTGGCAGAGAATATTAAAAAGCATTTCTCCTCTTTAAATACCAGCCATAAATTATGGTGCCTTGTAATTGGTTTAAGATTGCCTCATCTGCCTTGTAAACTACTCATGCTTTTGATTTAAAAAGTAATGTCAGATTAAGGACTAGTAGAACGTGTTCTCTTAGTTCAGTTGCTCATGACCGGGGGGGTGTTGTTTTTTTGTTTTTTGGTGCAAAAACTGAACAAGAAAAGTTTCCCCAATCTTTAAATAAGTTTTTTATTTCAAGAATTCTGTGATCAGACAGGTCTTCTAATTTTGATGTTTGGGTAGAAAACCAGGAGTATCGTTTACCAGAAGAAGCTAGATTTCACATACTCTCCTGGAGAAAGGAATAAGCCAGGACTAGTCTCATGCCAAAACAAAGCTTTACATATTTCTCTTATAATAGAAGAAAGTAGGCGGGAAAGATGAGAATGGGGATTGGAAGAGAAAGGGGGGAAAAGACACAACAGTAGCAATGAGAGAACAATGTAATCAAGCCTATCATTTTTAATAAGAATGATTGGAAATGAAGAGACTTACAGAATAACAGTTGGAAGGGCATTGTCTATTTCTAGTTTAACAACTTGATTCAGCCAAAACCGTTCATTACTGCTGCCCAAAAATGCGGTGCACGGAGGCAATGGGCAGCAGCGATCCCTGCAGCCTGGGACAGGTGATCGGTGGTATTCTGGGAGGCCAATGCAACCGCCAATCAGCTGCTCATACTACCGTATTTTTCGGAGTATAAGATGAACCTTTTTTCCTCAAAAAAGAGGCTGAAAATCTGGGTGTGTCTTATACACCGAATACAGCATTTTTTTTCCTCCTGAAACCCGCCTCTTCACCAAAATGGCTGTGCATAGCTTGTAGCAGGCTTTCAGTTTCTGGGGGCTGGGGAGGGCAGAAATGAGCAAAAAATGGGGGGGGTGCTCTATTCCCCCCCCCAGCCCTCCTCCCGGAGCACGCTATAAGCATACATACATGCATTTTTTTTAATGAAAAACGGGCTATTTTTTGCTTGTTTTGCCCCCCCCCCCTTCTGCAAGCCGCCCACAGGTATTCATGCCTTTTTTTGGTTTGGTTTTGCAAAAAAAGGCCCCGTTTTCGCGAAAAACGGGCCGTTTTGGGGAGATTTGCAGAGTGCAAATACTTCTTTTTCCCCCTTTCAGAAAGTTTCTTAACTGATTGATGAGAATTACATTGATCAAGTGCTGTGCCAGCAGAAACAAAGTCTTAGGTGCTGCAGATTGTCAGAGATTTCCTTCTTCAGCACATGGATAAATACACCTGAAAACATCTACCTACCTACCTACTCTCTCTCCCTACCACCTACTGTATTTCTCTCTCTCTCTCTCTCT